AAAAGTCAGGCTGGGCGTGGTGGCTCACGCCTGTAATCCAAACACTTTGGAGGCCAAGGCGGGCGGATCACCTGAGGTCCAGAGTTCAAGACCAGCCTGACCAACATGGTGAAACCCCGTTTAAGAAAAAAAAAGGTGTGGTCATGGGCACCTGTAATCCCAGCTGCTTGTGGGGCTGAGGCAGGAGAATCGCTTGAACCCGAAAGGCAGAGGTTGGAGCGAACCGAGATTTTGCCACGGCACTTCAGCCTGGGAAACAGAGCAAGAGTCCATCGCAAAAAAAAAAAGAAAAAAGTGTAAGTACAGTAAAGGGAAAAACTGCGACCTGCCCATGATAAGGCCTGCTTACTTGGGGCCTTGCTTTTCCGTGTGTGTTTGCACAGCTCGTCCTGAGGTTGCCCGCACGGCCGTGGGTCCCCCTTTATCACCCAGCAGCAGACGCCCCGGCGGCTCTGTGGCCCAACCCCAGCCCCGTGAGCCTCCCGTGGCCGGAGCTCGTGGCGGGCTGCTCCGTGCACGTTAAAAATGGGCAGTTCCTGTTTCCTTCCCCTTTTCTTCCCCACAACGTTTGCTCAAAAGGGTTCAAAGGCCTTCTGAGTTTTTCTTCAGGAGGCAAGACCAGGACACAGAACCAGGCTTGAACACGATGCCAGCCCGGGGCACGTGGAGAAAAGGAGGCCCAAATCCGTCCTGATTTTCCTTTCTTTCTTTTTTCTTTTTTCTTTTTTAGAGACAGGGTTTCTCCATGTTGGTCAGGCTGGTCTCGAACTTCTGACCTCAGGTGATCCTCCCACCACGGCCTCCCAAAGTCCTGGGATTACAGGCATGAGCCACCGCACCCGACCACCTCCTTGATGTTTACCTGTTTACATTTTATTTTATTTAACTGATTATTCTTTTAGAGACTAGGTCTCCCTCTGTCACCCAGGCTGCAGCGCAGTGGCGAGATCAGAGCTCACTGCAGCCTCCACCTCCCTGGCTCAGCTGATCCTCCCTGTCTCAGGCACGGGAATAGCTGGGACTAGAGGTGTGCACCACCATGCCCAGCTAATTTAAAAATTTGCTGTAAGGCCGGGCGCGGTGGCTCAAGCCTGTAATCCCAGCACTTTGGGAGGCCGAGGCGGGTGGATCACGAGGTCAAGAGATCGAGACCATCCTGGTCA